GAAAGAGAGAGAGGATCTGGCGGGGGGAGGCAAAGGGGAGGTGGGCGGAGGCCGAGCGGAGGTGGGCAGAGGCCGAGCAGAGGTGGGAGGAGGCCGGAGGCCGGAGGCGGTGGCGCAGGCCGCTCCCTCTCTCTCTCTCTCTCTCACACACACACACAGACAGGGGATAGAGAGGCGGAGGCGGAGAGGAGTTGGTGGGAGGAGATTGCGGGAGGAGATGGGGGGAGGAGGCGGAGGGGAGGTGGCGGAGGTGGGGGAGGAAAGAGAGGATCTGGCGGGGGAGGCAGAGGGGAGGTGGGCGGAGGCCGAGGCCCGAGGCGGTGGCGCAGGCCGCGATCTCTCTCTCTCTCTCTCTCACACACACACACACACACACACACACACTCACACAGGGGATAGCGAGGTGGAGGCAGAGGCGGAGAGGAGTTGGTGGGAGGAGATTGCGGGAGGAGATGGTGGAAGGAGGCAGAAGCGGGGGAGCAAAGAGAGAGGATCTGGCGGGGGGAGGCAGAGGGGAGGTGGGCGGAAGCCGAGGCCGGAGGCGATGACGCAGGCGGCAATCTCTCTCTCTCTCTCTCTCTCTCTCTCTCTCTCTCTCACACACACACACACACACACACACACACACACACACACAGGAGATAGGGAGGCGGAGGCGGAGAGGAGTTGGCGGGAGGAGATGGAGGAAGGAGGCGGACAGGAGGTGGCTGAGGTGGAGAAGTGGCGGAGACGGGGGAGGAAAGAGAGAGAGAAGATGGTGGGGGGAGGTAGAGGGGAGGTGGGCAGAGACGGAGTCACCTCGGAGTACAGCCTTGCAAGTCACGGGTCGAGGATGCGAAGTCAGAGGCCGTTCGACGCGAGCAGGGCCATAGCGCCGCCGGCCCTGCAACGGGCCAATGGCCAGCAGGTGCCGGGGCAGTTCTTTTATGACCGGCCCTCTTTTCAACGGCCGCGAGGATCCAGACCACCCACGGTCCTACCGGCCCGATGGCTCGGATCGTCCTGCGATCTTAAGACTTTAAGATCGTGCGACGATCCAGGCCGTCCGGCGAGGCGGACAGTCTGGATTGCCGCACAATCTTAGTATTAAAGTCTTAAAGTCTTAAGATCGTGCGGAAATCCGGGCCGTCGGCCGGTAGGCCGTGGGCGGCCCGGATCGGCCAAATGTTGTGCGCCAAATAGCGATTTCTATAAGTGTAGGGAAGTCAGAAATACATAAACATACACCACACGCTTACCCTTGTCACATTTCTCGAGTGCGGACACAATAACGTTCTTTCCCCAAACATAACGCATATGCGTTGTATTTGAGTTGTCAAAACAAATTGATGACTCGAATAGAACGCATATGCGTTGTATTCAAATACAAATCAACCCTATACCTGCATTCATTTACAACTCATATGTGTTATGTTCGGGGGAGGATGGTGGGATGCTAGGTCCGCCCAGGCTGCCACAGTAACGTTTTACACTAACGATTTTTTATAGGTTACTAGGCCCTCCCAGGCAGCACAGGTGGCGGGGTGTGGCGAGGAGGGGGGAGGGAGGGGGGGGGGGGGGGGGGCAGCAAATTCGGGCAGGCCTGGAAGTGCCTGATAAATTGAGAAGTTTTCTTTTTTCTGATTGCGATGTGCGAATGCCCTCGTGGAGAACATGCGGAATCTGGCTTTTTCTTGAACACTTGTAAGTCAAGTCTGATAAATTGAGAAGTTTTCTTTTTTCTGATTGCGATGTGCGAATGCCCTCGTGGAGAACATGCGGAATCTGGCTTTTTCTTGAACACTTGTAAGTCAAGTTGGAGGGGGGTTGGTGTGAGTAAAAGGATCACAATGGGTTTAGAGAAAATTTGAACATTTAAAGGGGTGTCCCGGGCTGCCAGGATCGTAACATAGTTTTTTTTTTTCAGATTGAGAGTAAATGACAAAATTAAAAATTAAAAATTTATAATTTTATAGTTTTTTTTTCAGATTGACTGTGATTGAGAGTAAATGACAAAACTTATTGTAGACTGAAAGGGTTGTCTTAGAGGAAAGGAAATCCATTGAGACCACTGAAACATTGAAATCACAAACCATTTGAAACCAGTACACACTTCTTTCTCCCCAGAATGACCCACGATTTGTGAGATTCCAATGTCTTGGCAGTGACAAGGGCAAAACATCCTGGCAAACCAAATCCACCACAAGGGCAGCAGCAGACTTCATTGATTTGTGCCAAATTTGATCATTGAAGTTCCCAAAGTTGTTTCCACTGAAGGCTTCACAATGTCAGTCTGGGAGAAACACCATGAAAGAGTGAACAGAGTCACAAAGAAGGTCCTGCGAAGATTGAGCCCTCGCACAGCCCTCGTTCTGAGCTCGGCCCCCAGCAAGCCTCATTGCCCGCCCTAAGTGAAGGCGGGCCTGCATATCCACGCGAGGCCTATTTTTTCCATTCTTTGTATATGGGGTACCAGACAGTTGCAGCATGCCAGTTGGTTACAGAGCAACGTGAGCCTTCCTTGGCTCCTTCCAGAAACAACAGCTGCACCGTACAGTTGAGCCCAGGGCTCAGGTGGTTGCGTCCTGGGCACAAACACTGCGAGGCCGACACATCACGTAGCAGCCGCAGACCAATGAGAAAGCAGCTCCTGCGTCACACACATGCCGCGAGCCAATGAGATCGCGCCGAACATTTGGAGCCTAGTGGGCTGCCTGGGCGTGCCTAACTGCACGGGGCCCAGGCCAGTATCTGAAACTGGTCCTGGGAGCAGATACTTCGGGCCAAGCTGAAGCTACTGGGCCCCTACACTCCACGCCCAGACCAGCAGGTGGCAGGGCGCACTTTCCATAAAGGAAAGTGAGCGCCCAGGGGCACGGCATTCTGGCCTGAGTGGGCAATGCCGTCACGCTGCTGCATTAGCGCACAAGCAGCTGAGCTAGCACTGCGGGCCGGACGCACGCACGGGCACAGAGGTGAGAGAGGGGTGCTGCTGAGGCAGCGACCGCATGGCGGCCATAGCCGGGCTGCTGTGCGCAGGCGCGGTGATGGCGATGGTGTCTTCGGGTAGGAGGCGCATGCAGTGGGGAGACAGGGTGTGATGAGGGGAGGAGAGAGAAACGTACCTGATGTATGCTGGCGGTCTGCATTGGTGATGACGTCACGTGCATTGGTCTCCAACTTTGACGTAATCTTGTTGCATGAACGTAGATGAGCTAGATAGGCCGAGTAGAGTAGGCTGGGCGCTGGGCGCCAATCAGTAGCAGCGACATTGGATACTAGATGGTATCTTGGTGCATTGTGCTCTCTGACTATCTAGACTACAGCGTGATTTTGCAATTTGGATTTCTGTCTATCGCTCTCGCTCATATTTCTTGCAGTACGTAACACACACACCACCACTGGAAAGGCCTGGGGCCAGTAAAAAGGGGTAGCGCATTTTGGTACGCCTTATCCCTGTTGTTCAAGTACGAGTTATCTGTGAGGATTGCGCATACCCTCATTACCATGGCTGTCTCTCTCTTATTCTTCTTCTTTTTAAAGTTTTTTTTTTTTTTTTTTTTTTTTGGACCATTTGTCAGTTTATGCGTGTCGTCTGTGCGCAAAGGCTAACCAAACTCTTGTCAGGAAGACAAAACAGAATCAGAAGAGAAAAACTTCAAAAAAAAAGAATCATAAGAGAAACACTTGAAAAAAAAAAGAATCATAACAGAAACAGGGTTACACTGGGTAGGCCCTTAGGGGTGAAGGATCGTCATGCTCGGAGCTTACCTTGATATTTCTGTGTGACAAAAATAATCCGAGGGCGTGCAGCAGCCGCCTGAGGTCGTCCAGCTGCAAGAGGACGACCAAAACGGGCAAGACACAGCAAGTCGTCAGTAAGAAGAGGTAAATGTGGAGACGTCCAGTTATGAGTCCTATGACCACAGCAATGACATGATTCTTCTTGCTGTCTTATATAAATGCTAAGCCAGATAAGATCATCTACCCCCTCACCAGTCCACCTACTAGCTTACTGCATACTAGTGAATAGGTATGGTTTTTGAATTGCCAAGTATGCTATTGTAGCCATATGAGAGTACTCGCAAAGGAGAGTCCAGAATCAAGGAGCAAGGGTAGGAGAATTAAGACCAACCAGGCTACACAAGGTCAGCTACTTCGTCTTTTCGAATGCATGTTCATTAGATAGAAATGCACAGTTGCATCCTTTGCAAATGCCATGGGTAACCAGATCGTGAACGAACAACCCTCCTACCAGTGCTGCCACACTTCACTCCGTTGTTTGTCCTGATGAAGGATATGTCACCAGAGTGCAATTCTACCCGTCTTGCCTTTCACGATTTGCAGCTTGTTACACTGTCAGCACCTCAGCACAGATCACAGCCCAGGACCATGGGAAAATCGAGGTACGACATAGGTGTCCGTGCAGCCCCCCCTTCTGCAAGGGCCTGGAATGTATGGCGCCCCAAGGTGCTGTGCACAAATGCTCTCTCTCTCTCTCTCTCTCTCTCTCTCTCTCTCTCTCTCTCTCTCTCTCTCTCTCTCTCTCTCTCTCTCTCTCTCTCTCTGAGGCATCCCCACACACAAACATGTCAACAATTGTCACCAGTCTCTGGACAAGGGAACATGTGTCAAAATTAACATGCATCCGCAGTGGGGGAGAGGGATGGTGGTGACGGGTTTCCTGGTGGGATGGGAGTCTTCTTGAAAATTGAAATTCAAAATTCAACTGGTTTTTCTGTGTTGCAGAATGAGCAGTGGCGGATATCATCATACCTTGAGATACCCAACTCGGTTCCTGTCGAAGTAGTAATAAGCCTGTTTTATTCACAGAGAACAGACAGATCCAGAGATAGAGATGCTATCAGTCAGCATGCAAAGCATGCAGTTTGCAATCTAAAATGACCCCACTGTTAAACAAAAAGCACCAACATATCCTTCCCCCCACTGTAGAGCACAATCGCTTGCTGCCTTGGGCGGCTAGAGCCTTGGCAGCTCTTTTCTGCGCCGTGCTTGCCGGTGACAAGCAACCGGACTGTCACCCCCGGAATAGATGGGGCTTGAGTGAGTGTTTTGTGTACCCAAAACAAAACAAAAAAGTACCAACATCCCATAGCGATTGCGGCACAGTCCTGAGCATTGAATCACCCTCCAAAAATGAAAAAACATACATCAAGAGTGCGAAGGGAACCTCCCATCGCTCTACACAGAAGGGCGGAGCCAACATCCCATAGCAATTGCAGCACAGTCCTGAGCATTGAATCACCCTCCAAAAATAAAAAAACATACATCAAGAGTGCGAAGGAACCTCCCATCGCTCTACACAGAAGGGCGGAGCTGACTCTTCTCTTCATGTCTTGATTGAAAAAAAATGAGAAGGAGCGTTCTCCTAATAGGCCGTTTCGTTTGTTCCCTCATACTGCCTTTCAGTCCACTCCGTCAATCAGACAGCTCACATGCTGGACACCATGGCCAGTGCACACCTTTTCCTTTTTTCCCCTTTCTATACAACTGGGTCCGTACCCTCACGAGACCCCACCCACCTTTTCCTTTTTTTCCCCTTTCTATACAACTGTGCAAGGCTCAAAGGCCTCGATACGCCCTACTGGGCCCTATTTCCAGTACAGTCGGCTGCCCTAAGTGAAGGCAGGCTCGACCAAGGCCTACAGGCCCATTTTGGGGTCACCACGCAACTGGGAAATTTCAGGCAGTTGCGCAGCGCCAGTTGGTTGAGAGCGCCCAGGCCCAGGCTTCCTTTTTCACATGTAACTGAGGCAGGCCCTGGGCCAGATACGCAACATGGGCCGAACACAGGCTGCGGGCAGTTGGGCACGAGTAACCACCACAGGCCCTGGGCCTGATTCGTTCGGACTGGGGCTCAGCCTCATGGGGCCTACCGGAAGCTTCTGGATCAAGGCCCAGCAGCAGGCAGGCCGCACGGCGCACGGAGCGGGCAGGTCACTTCCATTTAGGAAAGTGCCTGGCCCAGCACTCCTCATTCGGGCACTGGCTGCATGCTGCGCTACACGCTGGCCAGGCTCACGCACTCATGGGCGAGTAGAGAGAGAGGAAGGCAGCCATAGCCGAGCTGCGCTGCATAGCTGAATGAGGCGCATGGTGGTCCTTGGGTGCACGTGGCATCTGTGAGTGGGGGATCGAGGTTGTGAGTGATACGAGAGACATACCTGGTGCTTGAGGCGAACGGCATTGGCCGAGATCTGCTCGTTCTTCGGGGATCTGTTGACGTCACCAGCGGCATTGTAGATAGGCTAGATAGGATCTGCCATTTGTAGTGATGATGAGACTATTCGAACATTGTCACTTATGAGCTTTTGCTGTGCGCTTATTTGGTGGGACTCATGCTGCCATTCTGCTTTTGGTTCGAGGTCACGACTATCTGGTCTCATGTGTATGATGCTGATTGGTTTCTGATGTTTGCTATCGCTCATTTTCCTTGCAACTGGGTCTTTACCCTCACGAGACCCCACCCACCCCCCAATCGCAGTTCTCCCTGGCACACCCTCACTCCCTCAGTCCTAACTCAGTGTCTACAACTAAGGACAATCACCCTGTTGGGATGAACTGATAGGACAGCAGTCACAAGCACCAGTTCTAACCAGGATATCCCGTTCAAGCCTGGTTGAAGCTGTTCAAACAAGCCCTGTCGTACATGTGCTTTGGACACTAGGTGTGAACATTTTCTCTACAGGCCCATGAGTAGACCATACATGCCCCCTGAGATTCTGTACTCAGGTCCCTCTATATACCAGGATGTTCTCCCTGTGAACTACCACAGGCAGTGTCTAATGGCCTAGACCAAGGCCTAACCAATGGAAGGTCCTGACATGCAAGCCCCTAGCTCAGCTGTTCTATCGATCTCATTGTTGCTATTGTGATCCTTGTTGTTGTTGTTGTTGTTGTTGTTGTTGTTGTTGTTGTTGGTATTGTTGTTGTTGTTGTTGTTGTTGTTGTTGTTGTTGTTGTTGTTGTTGT